GCGAAGGCGATTCAGGTAGATCGAGGGAGCTCGCCAAGGAAGCCGTCAAGGAAAATCCAAGAAGACAGATGTCGCCTAAGAGGAGCCAGGGTAATGCTTCTCCAGGAACACCAACTGGTTACTGGCAACCCAGCCTTGGGAGCATAACCGAGGAGTGATCCTCTTTAGTGCATGGCTTGCAGTAATTGAATGTAGTATTATGCTCAGTGTAGGCTTACGACGACAAGGTTTCGATAACACCGAACAATACTTGAAAGTTCCATTTACATGATTGTTCTCACAGAGATGTAATCAACACAATAAGCACAACAGCCAGGGTAATCGTCCACTCTAACCCAGCATAACTTGGTACATCAGTTCCTTCAGAGAGAGAGAGAGAGAGAGAGAGGTATACATAATAATGTCATGGTGTATCTTGCATCTCTAATCATCTGATTCACATTAAAGCGAGATGACTGTGGCCTTGCAGCATTCGTTTATGCATGTATGCAGATAGGGTAGAGTTTGTGGGCAGTAAGCTTGCGAGTTTTTGTTAATGAACGGATATACCGTGACTGATGAGTCAGCACGACTAGATTCACGGGTCGATATACAATCAAACTCTTGTGCAAGTTGGAGTTTGCATTGCTACGAGCAGTACTTCCACGTAATATTTACAAGGACTACTTTCTGAATCTATACTATCATGAGATTCCATGACATTTTTGTATACACTACATGGACAATACTAAATCAGTTTGAACTCAACCAGGTTACAACACTATATAAACTAGACTTAATTTGGATTTACTAGTGTAAGACATGCAGGATAACAAAGATTCTTTTTATACCTTAAACACTGATCTGATATACCAACCAAATTAACTTACTAAAAATTGAGGGAGGGTTTGAAACTTTATTTCATATATTTTTACAATACGGTGTATCAAACTAATTTACAAGTATTTAGAGTTTGAAACCTCATTCGATATATATTTTTGAATATATCAATTAGTTTAGTTGATAATGATCTTAAAAATTTATCTAATATCTTAAGCTCATACCTCATCTTCCATACCTCACCGTCCTCGAACAAGTCATCAGCTGTTCTTCATTTATGCTGCTCAACTTGCAGTGGTCCTTCATTGGACCTTTTCTTTGGGAAAAAAGAGTCATTTAAATATGTCATCGTCATCATGACAGATATCGTGGATTTTCTCTCAAGCTTAGATGTTGATCGTCCTTGACAAGTCTTGGCAGAGTTGTTCGAGGACCTCAGACAAGTACACGATTGGAAAGATTCAAGCCAATGATCTAATTAAAGTGACCCATGATGCAGAATCAACGAAAGAATGGTCCACATTGTTGTAGGGCAAACATCAGATTGTCTAGAATCGACCTTTCAGAGATTGGCCTCAGCATTAATTGCCTGTGTTTCATTGTTTACTTAGTCCTACGTCAACGATGTAGTTTTGGAGTCTACTCTTTACTTATCGTCGTCACTGGAGACGCCAACAAAGAAGGTTGCTGTCTCTGAGCTCATGGGTTCACACATGCATCGGGAAGAACAATACAATTCAGAGTATGGGGGGCCACAGAATCCATGTACTAACAAAGACTTCATCACGACTTCGTTTCACAGTCTCATCTCAACTAATGTTTGAGTGAGAGGCATCCTATGGGGACCTTCATATTGTGTGGATCATGTTCTTTAGTGTTCTATCACCAAAACCAAAAAAGCTGCTTCTGACAGAATAATGGCAAGGCTGCGTGCTGGTATAATTTCTTCCACCGAGTCTCTGAGCTACGATTCCAAGAGGAGAAGACGAACTAGGAAGAAAGAAACATGATCATCTGCAAAAGAATCATGCAGGGTGGCATATCAGGAAGAAGGTCCATAAAATAAAATGTTCTTTTTGACGATTTTATGATGTGTGAAAAGAGAGGATGCTTATTATGTTTATTTCCTTCGGCATCTAAATAATTATTAATATATAAAACAAATTTTTTAAAATAATTTTATGATACATAAAAAAAAAAGATGCTCATTGAATTCTTTTTTTCTTTACACTCAAATAATTTTTAATATATAAAATATTTTTTTTTTCATAATTTTTGATGTGTAGAAAGGGGGATGCTCATTGTGTTTATTTCTTTCAACACTCAAATAATTATCAATACATAAAATAATTTTATTTTTATTTTTATGATTTTATGATGTGTAGAAGGAGGGGATGCTCATTGTATTCATTTCTTTTGACACCCAAATAATTATCAATATATAAAATAATTATTTTTTTTCATATGTTTATTGATGTGTGAAAAGAGGATATGCTCATTATGTTCATTTTTTTTAATACCTAAATAATTATCAATACATAAAATAATTCTTTTCTTTTTATGATTATGATGTGTGGAAAGAGGGATGCTCATTGCATACGTTTCTTCCGACAACCAAATAATTATCAATATATAAAATAATTATTTTTTATGTTTTTATGATGTGTGAAAAAAAAGGAAATGCTCGTTACGACACCCAAATAATTCTTTCCTTTTCATGATTTTATGATGTGTAGAAAGAGGGGATGGTCATTGTGCTTATTTCTTCCGACACGCAAGTGGTCACTGTCATCTCAAATCATTTCATTGCATACGTTTTTTCCAACACCCAAATAATTATCAATACATAAAATAATTATATTTTTATGATGTGTAGAAAGAGATGATACATTTATTTATAATTATTAATACATAAAATAATTCTGTCCTTTTTATGATTTTATGATGTGTAGAAAAGAAGGATACTTATTGCGCTCATTTCTTTCCACACTCAAGTGGGTTATCTCTAGGTGGGAAAGCAGAAAAAAAAAAAAAAAAAAAAAGGTCACTGTCATCTTAGAGGTCATTTCATTACATCTTTATTATTTCTTGTCATATATTCTTAGCATCATATATTCAATTTATAAGTTTCTTTTAAGTTGTTAGTATCATTATTTAAGTTTCAGCAAATGAATTTTTCTGGACATATGTAATTTTTTGCACTTTTCATGATATAAGTAAGATAAATTTAAATTTAAAGGACTAAATATATTTCAGAAGGTTGGAAATATTTAGAGGAGTAAATAACAGTATTAGAAATTCAAATATGAAAAAAAATCTTAATGAATTAGAGTTTTATACTCATAAAAAAATAATTCTTCAGAATTTATATAAGAGAATGCATCAAAATTTTACGTTTGGATTAATTCCGAAAAGATCTATTCCTTATATTTGTGATTTTCATATGATGAAGAATATGATTTTTTTTTTATAATGAAGAGACAAGAGTTACCAAACCAAATAAAATTTACATCATCGTTTAATCTATTTATTGATCATTGATATCTCCTTTTCATTTTGAGGTCTTATTAGAGGAGTAAATAATAGTATCGAAAAGTCAAATATAAAAAGATTTTTAATAAAATAGAGTTTTATATTCGTAAAAGAAAATTCTTCGAAACTTATGTGATAGAATGTAATCAAAACTCTTTATTTGGATTAGTTCTGAAAAGAACTATTCCTTATATTTGTAATTTTCATATCATAAAGAACTTTGTGTTGCGGAACCAAATAAATTATACATCACTGTTTAATTTATTTATTGACTATTAATATCTAAGATCTATCTTCTTGATTTTGGATTTTGAGGTATTGGGTGTTAAGATGATGACTCGGGTAAATTTGGAAAAGGGAATTGCATCCACACGTGCAAGAAGATGCACCACCACATTTGTTCATCGCATCCTTCCAAGTAAATGGAAGATTGAGTCGTGGATGTTTCGAAGCATTAACTTTTGGCTTTTGCTTTGACGAGGACAAGAATGGATCTCATGGCCACCAATCCGAATGGAAATGGTTACAATATTATAAAAGCAAAAAATAAAATTTTAAATGTGAACATGATATATGACTCTATTTATAGTTTTACTTACTGATAAAGTCACACATGATTATTGAAAATGAATTAAGAATAGTTTTATCTCATTAAGGATTTAAATAGACTGTCCAATCTGTCAATTTTGACTAATTTAGCTTTACCTGTCCAATTAGAAATTTTAACAAAATCAAACTATATATTAAATATAGAATGATTTTCTAGAAAAAAAACTTTTTTTAGTTTTTTCGGAAGACATCTCCACTTTTCTTATTTTCCTAACAGCATCTTTTCTTTTTAAATAATTTTTTTAAAAAATTTTTTTTGTCATTGCCTCTGTAATTTATATGTTTTCGCTTGTCGCCTCCAATGTCTTTAGCTCATACTCCGCTTGTAAGATTTCGTTGCTATCATTGAAGAGGAAGAGAAGAAAGAGTGTGGAAGATTGGGTGTGGGAGAAGAGAGTAGAGAGGGATAATAGGGAAGGGCAATAGAGCCTACGACGATGAAAGCGATAAACGATAAGAAAGATATATTTAAAATTATACGAAGGAGGGGGTGCTATTAGAAAAATATAAAAGGAGGGAATACGAAATCCAAAAGAGAAATTTTTTTTTTGAAAAATCATCCTTAGATATATTCATAATTTAATAATTAAATCTTAGATTGGATGATAATTTTGATCACTTTAATTTGGATTCATCTTTGAGATTTAGACTTTAGTTCGTGGAGTTGTTAAATTTTCAAAAACAAGTAATTTTTATGGATAAAAATTAGACAAGTAATTTAATTTCATCCAACCACGCAACTCTTATTAAACTCCCAAACATCCCAAACATTGCACGACTGCAGGACGCCATGAGCACATCATCTCTCTCTCTCTCTCTCTCTCTCTCTCTCTCTCTTTCTCTGCGCTGTCTCCATCTTCACAACCAAAGACTTTGAACGACAAATGACGAATTTTCTTCTCGAGGGATGGCAAAGCCGCGCGAGTTTTTCGACTATTCCTCTCTCTCTCTCTCTCTCTCTCTCTCTCTCTCTCAACTTATGTATATATACTCGCTCATATCAATACTATGATATTAGATAACAAGGGGAAAGCATTGGACTTGCGCAGTCGGACATGGAAGATGGCAGCCAAATCCCCTAGCTTGAAGCTGCAGGTATCCACGACTCTGCCCCACTCATGGACTCCATCTTCCTCCTCAGCCCCGACGCCCGCAGTCGCTTCCTCCGAACCGCCGGTCGCGTGCTGGGATGCTCGTACATCTGCCTCTGGTCTCATCTTTACCATCCGCCATCCAAGTATATATACCTCTTCATCACCCTTAAATCTCTTCGCTCTGCATCCCTGATTCTCGCTCTCTTCCTTGGGATCTAATTTCCCGGCCTTCATCCAGCTACTTGACCGCCATGGTCGGATGGCACCGTGACGACGACAGCACCCACCCGAGCTCCTCCTCGGGCAGCCCCTCCAGGGGTCTCTTCGACGCCTACCGGAGATCTATCTGTGACATCCAGCACAGGTGTGTGTGCCCCCGCCACCACGTCCCTGCTCAGTAATCAACTTCATCTGATCCGGCTTCCTTCTCTGTGCTTCTGAAGTTGTGTTCCTGGGTTAGCCTACAAGAACGGCCTTCCCTACTTCGAGCTGGGAGATGCAGACCTGATGGACTTGGCCTCGATGCGAGTTCAACGGCAATTCTATCAGGTATAACCAAGCAAGATGGATCTCCTCAACTCGCTCGATCATGCCCATAGCGCTTAATCATGTACATGGTTTCTTTGTGCAGGAGGCTGGCATCAAGGTTGACATTGTTGGGTTGTCGTTCTTGCTGGTTTCTTTGATCTTTCTGAATCATGTTCTTCACCATAACAGCGCACTGCTCTCCCTGTGACAGACTGCGTTTTTCCTGGGATGCCCAAGCGGAGAGATAGAATTGGGGATGACATCGCCCAGCAATGTAATAAGAATCTATATATTATATATACATCATAGTAGCATATACACATTTATCTGTGATCGTAAAATTCGCAATTATATTTTTTGGCGATGACACCTATTATCACGGTTTCTAACCACGAGAAAAGATAACTTGTTGAAGTGTATATCACACCCTCATCTTGACGTCTTTGCTATATATATGACGTGGTTTTCTGCAGACAAACATGCAGATCAATGTCCAAAGAGTGTTCAGCGAGGACTTCATACGGCAGTCACAATTGGGATCAGAAGAGTTCATTCAACAGGCTCAGTTGGGACAGATGCTCCCGATTCCCGACCAGAGCCGGCCCTCCTCCTCCTCCTCCTCCTCCTCGCTTCGGTCTCGATCGGTGGGGAGTGCCGAGCACTCATCAAGTGGTCGTTCGATCATGCCTGATTCGGCTCTGCCGCGCCACGTCACCATGCAAGCCTACGGTCGATACCGAAACGTCCTGCTTCCTTCAGCTGCCCGGGACGACGCTGAGATTACGAGAGCCATGATTGTTGTCATCTCCTCCACCTCTTCTTCTACCACTCTGATGCCGTTTCAGACATCGGAACCGGCGGCGGGCCGCTCAGTAGGGGCGTTCAAGCCTTACTGTCCAGCTTTGGCGCCTAAATCCAACGCCAATCCAAGCTTGCACGGCCAGAAGATGATTAAGAAGGTCATCATGCTGCTGACGACAATGAACCTGACGAGGTTCGAGGCTCCGATGCAGGACGCACGAACTTCAAGCAACCAGATGCATCATATGATATCAGAGCGCAAGCGCCGTGAGAAGCTCAATGAAAGCTTCGACGCTCTCAGGATGCTGCTTCCCCGAGGCTCTAAGGTACGCTTCTGAGAAGGAAACGAAACGATACCGATCGATCGTACATTGCTCATTTGTTTCCATGCTTTGGATTCAACAGAAGGACAAGGCATCAGTGCTGGACAACACAAGGAACTACCTCAACAGCTTGAGAACGCAGATCTCGGAGCTGGATGAGAGGAACAGGCTACTGGAGGTGCAGCTTCGACATCAGCGCGAGAACGAGGAAGATGGAGATCCGAATGAAGCAGTGCAAATTCGCATAACCGGGTCATCAGAGCTGGAGGAGAGGAACAGGCTACCGGAAGTGCAGCTTCGGCATCAGGGCGAGGAGGAGGAAGACGGAGATCCGAATGAAATAGTGCAAGTTCGCATAACCTGGTCATCAGAATCGACATCAGAAACCCAACGGATCAACATCGGTGTTACGGTGAGGGTAGAATGTAACGCGATAGATATGATTCTTAATGTGCTCGAACGCCTGAAAAGGATGAGAGGTGCCACTTTGGTGTCAGTGGAGACGAGCACAAGATCGTCACAGACGAATGTTTGCATGAAAGCAAGCCTCACGCTACAGGTTAAGGTACGTACTGTTAGATTATTGTAGGCCAACGTTGACTGCCGGTCAAACATCCTGCAACACATAGATCAATAATAGAGTTAGATTATCAGCATAGGCTGATGGCCACCAGCTTTTTCTTTACTGCAATATATCCGGCATCATAGGAAGTTTCATGTTTGATCCGGAGAAAAGATTTCAGTGGGGTGATGGTGATGTTGATGTCACAGAGTGGTGATTGCGACGAGGAGGCATTCAAGGAAGCTGTGGTCGAAGCGGCGTATTCTGCGTTGGCAGCGTCATCGACCACCGCTCCATGATGCTGTGCTTCGCCGAAGGCTAGCTGGGCCATCAAAGTTGACCAATCTTCTTCTGGAGGGGAGTCTGCGAGAGGAGATGGCGTCGCTTTCGTAAAGTTGGCAATGAATTCTATGCTGAGAGGCTTGGAGAACGATTCTTTGTGTCTGTATGCGTGCCACAAAGATGGAGAGAGAGAGAGAGAGAGAGATGTCGACCACATACGTTGTGGTGGTTGTCTTTTTGATTGACTAAAGAGAACTTTTTGATTACTTTGGCTAGTTTTTTCTTACAGGCCAATCTGAGCATGACAAGCTTCTAAATATAATAGATCAGGATTGACCTTTTATACTAGAGAGGGAGGGCCTCTGAGTGATTGATATGAAATTACATATTCGAAGGAAGGAAGCATTTACTTATTTTGACCACTCAATGGTCTTCTTTCCCTCTAATATTTTAAATTCTCTCTCTGGATTAATAAGCTACGACGGATTATAATAAATTTACTCAATCATATAATATAGGAAGTGATTTTGAAGTATGTCATGAAAGCCTCAATGGATTGCAAAAACATGAAAATCTAAACACATTTATAGAGAGAGAGAGAGAGAGAGATAATCACTTCAATGGATGACTAGTGTTTTCAAATCCAACAAAGACGATAGTTTATTTTGTTAATTGGATCACGGGTGAGGTCAGATGTTCGTCGACGGTGGCGTGAACCATGACATCATAAATAAATAAATTGGAAGTATAAATATATAAAAGGAAGTTTTGTGACATATTTCACAATGATTCAAGAATTTTCTATGATCACAAGAAGGATAACGAGCATTACTCAACAAACGAAGCAGTCGCTACTGTAAGATCACTAACGACCAATAATTGACTAATTTAAGACAACAAATTAAACAGTGAATCAATTGATTATAATTATAAAAAAATAGGACTAATTATAAATTATCTTATTCAGTTATGAAAGTGAAAACGAAACATCTAATTTAATTTATCCTAATATCATAGGTTTTACCGACGAAAGTACAAAAATGATAGATAAAAATATAATTTTAACATTACAGTTATGTTTTTTGTGATGACAAATGACGACATCATCGGGAGTCGTAGGTGACTATTGTGAATGATGAAAAAAACAACGATGAAAGGTGAGATAATGGGAGAGAGAAAAAGATGACGTAGATACTGATGCACTGCATTTGCATCGACATTGCTCGGCAACTACATTGATGCCGACAACGATGCGGGGAAAGGCGTGACACTTTATATTTACATTGGCACTAACAACGATGTGAGAATGAACGTCACTGCTTGATATCTACATCAACGTCAACACATGTAGAGCATTGATATCTACCCCAACGATGTCATTGTTCACTACTACTGAAAATATAATTGGGACGTTAAAACTATCTTCTTTTTTTTTATTTTCATACTTTTGTTGGTAAAACTGATGATGACGTTATGATAAATAAAGCTATATGTTTAACTTTTATAACTATAAGAATTTCAATATAAATTTTTTAAGTCTATGCTAATAGATAATATGTAATTAACCGTGTATAAGAACATATAGGGTTGGGTTGGGATAAAACAAGACTAGATGACTATATGTTCTTACATGTTTCTCACCAGCCTGGGGATGACTAGATGTTCTTGGGATTCGGATGTTTCCTTGATTCTTTCCAAATGAAAACTTCTACGGTGCTTCACACTAATGGTCACTATCATCCTTCTCTGTGGCTGCCATCGTCACTGTTATTAGTCACAATTCATTTGATGATTCAAAGGAATTGGAACTAAATGAGAACATTGCCAGTACTTGGTTTCAGACTTAACAGTGCAGATTTTTGAAAAATAGATCATGTCTCCTTTTCTGGGGCACAGCAGATTCTGAATCAAGATGTGTCCACTGCCAACTTTTCAGACACCTGCTAATATGTATGGATTGAAAAGAAGAAAGACTTTTAGATTATGTAGCAAGCCTGCAAAATGAGATAGGAGGACAATGAACCAATGGTGACAAGCAGATTAAGACTTGCAGGAGTTCTGATTTTCTCATATTCACTTTAGATGATGACTCTTTTGGAGTAGAGAGATGGAATGGTGCTCTACTGAGCATGGTCAGTCAATGGCAAGTCAAAAATATTACATACCTGATTGCTGTGGCAGCATCATAAACATGCATCTTCTGTGACAAATAGTCAATGGCAAATCAGTCTCTTTTGTCAGAAACTTCCAATCATATGAAAATCCTATATGGTTGATGGTGATTCTGGAAAACCTGAAGTTGACAATGGACATAGCAGAAATGATTCAAGGGAACCACTATGTGAAGCCAAAGACAAAGAACTGAGTGCCAACCACCCATACTTTGGCAGCCATCTGTACAGCTTTCCAAAGCAGATTGTCCATATATAGTCAACAGTTAGCCATGGATAGCATCAACTAAAATTCAAGGTTCTGCCACTACAACTCTTCCAGGCAAGCCTGACCAGTGTGATCCTTCACCCACTGTGGAGTAAAAGAGTTTCTGAACCCATGCCCAAAGGGAATTTTAGTGACTGCAGCGCACTTGCTGTTATTCTTTACCATGGGATCTGGAATTCATCTATGAGTGTCCTCAACTTGGTGGCTACAAGATGATAAGTAGACCAGTCATTGTTTAAATTCTAGTAGCTAAAACCATGCATTTGGACTATCTCCTCAATGTAGCCTGTCCATGGGCCTTCTTATAACACTAAAGATCTATAAGATCTCAAGCTATGTCAATCAGATAGTCTTCTATTACCAGAAACAAGTTTCTTGTACTATTATCATCATCATAGGACAACTGACCCTACTTCAACAAAATGTGATTACTTACAGGCTATCTAGCCAGTATTTTCCCCTACAAAGTGTCCTGAGAAGGATTGTAAATGAGCATCTCCACACTTGCCTGATATCAGCCGATATATTACACAATCCGTAGAAGACTAAATATAAACAGCCCTATAACATGCGCTTTCCTGTGTTCTCAACAGTGGCATAAAATGTTCAGTATGTGAATCATCCAACATGGATTATAAGCTTCTTCACATGTAATCTAAAATAGGTTTAAAAAATCAATTCTACATGTAATGAAAAAATGAGCTATTTCGGTCGTAACCGATAATACCATAAACCCCACTTACTTTTCGTCAATTTCTAACGATGCCAGCAATCACAAGCACCAAAACCTAAATCAGTCAGACTAGCATCATTTGTAAGATATCTCTAGTCTTCTTGCAGTGGGAGAAGCAAGGAGGATTCAATTTCGATATCAAGAAGAAAGTCAGATGATATCTCTAAACATATATAATTTGGGAAAGAGTGCACATCGATGGTCGATAAACCCTTTTCTTAAACAGAAATAGTGTTCCATTATCATAGGCCAATAGTCTATGCTCCCACATCAACATTAAGTGTCTATTTGGGTCTCTATGTCATCAATTCAGTGAAACTCATAGTTAGTATTACAGCATTTTTCACATGTTATCTTTTCTATGACAAAAAGATTAAGAATAGAAATGGACTAATTTAAGAAACATAATCTATCAATCTATCCAGATAATGGAAATAACTAGGGGTGCATATAAGTACATTCAAAACAAACAGAATCCATGGACCAACTCGGTCCAGTTTTGCCTGATCCTTTCCACAATCCTACAAATAATATGAGTTTTACAACTCAGATCCCACCTAATCTTTGAACATTCTCATAGCCAATACTAGAAGTTTTAGAGGACCATTTTTTTTACAATCTAGTGTAAACATGATTAAACAAATAAGCTAAATATTGCCCCATTTATTTTTTTTAAGGAAATGACTAAATGGAATTTAATTTCCACACTTGTACTCCTATTTCTGCATATACATGTGGCTGTTGGTCATCAGAGATGAAATGATAAGCTCCATAACCCTCTTCTACAATATGGTTCAAGTTCCAATCATTCTAACTGATCAAAGATCTGTAATACAATATATTCATCCATAAAAATTTCATGTCGATCATTGACTGATGACAATTCATCTTTTCTCATCAAACTTTCACAGAATTAATGGCAGCACAAGATAAACTTTAACATATTATACATGCTTGGGGAACTTGTCACTGCAAAATCTATCACCTGAGATAGCAAAGCAGGTTATTCATGAACTGAAGCTTTCTCCTTTGATGACTTTATTAGGACCACGGTTAGGTACACGTAGTAGTTGTCTGCCACTTTCACATCATGACATAAAAGCATGATGGGCCATCGACCCTTATCTGCAATCTAGCATCATACAGTCCTTAAGATTGCCTTTTCCATTGACAGATTGCCTAAGATAAATCTATCAATCACCTCAAATCATTTCTAGGAACTCCCTGGTTCTAGTTTTGAGGACAGCACGAGCTCAAGCACATAAAACAAGAATATGCAAAAACACTTCTCTCTACAATTTGTTTCTGATGTAATTAAGAAGAAATCAGTGGTTCAATTGTAAGTGAGACAGTGAAACAAACAATGAACTATATGCAAAAGTGGCAGGAGAGCATGAACCAATTACTATCGGTAAAGCAGATATTTAATTTTCCAGCCACCTCATTTGATCAAATCAGCAGCGGAGGAATAAAAATGAAAGATTTTGGATTGCGGAATAAGTTTGTCACACACAGGCAAAACAACAAACAAATGGTGTGCAAAACAATTACATAAAACTACTGCAAATCGATGTAGTCACACAACAATAGATAGGTAGAAGTAGGAGGTCAAGATATTAAGCACCCATGCCCAAACTGGTTCTGTCCGGTGTTACTACGAGACGGCCGCGTACCACTTCCCAGGCCCGGCCGCCTCCTCTTCCATCACCAGATCCTCGGTCTTGCGCAGCACGGCATGAATCAGCACCAGCAGCAGGCCGACTAGAAGGGAGATGAGCACGTTGGACGTGACCTTGGTTAACAGGAGCAGCACCAGGGTGACCACGGAGAGCACGATCAGGACCACCCGGTCTCCAATGGTGCGGCCAAAGAAGACGAGCGGCTCGTCGCGGAGGAAGTAGAGGAAGAGCCAGGCGGCGAGGCAGGCGAGAAAGACGATGAGGGAGATGGGGTGCCAGAGGAGACTGCAGAAGACGACGAGCAAGACGATGATGGCGTAGTTCATGGCAAAGTAGGCGGCGTTGGTGCGGATCCGGACGTAGGCCTCGCCGAGGCTGGGCGGGAGGCCCATGGCGTGCACGTTAGCCAGCTGCCGCCAAGGCC